GTGTTACCGGGGTATATCAGAAACTTGCCCACGCCCATCTTTCTGCTGTGCCCACCATTGTCTTCCATGGAGTTGGGCCTCTGTGGCTGGGCATTTGAGGTCATGCACATTGTGGTTCATCTCTCTCTCTCTCTCTCCACATCCACACACGCACACGCCTTTTGTTGCACACTTGCAGGCGTGACAGACAATGTGGACCCAACCTGATGTGCACCATGGCAGTTCCTCAGGTGCAGCTGGCCCTCAGGTGCACCACTGCATTCAGCAGCTGTGTCAATTGGTGGAGTGCTTTACACTTGGGGTCGTGGGGACTACGGGTATGTTCGTGGTGGTGATGTGGCTCGCGATCTGGTCCTTGTTAGAAACCTTCTGACTCCAAGACCTGTGTCCGGTCTAAGTGACTGTGCGGTTACAGGAGTCGTTGTTGCAGCTTCACACAGTCTTTCAACCACTAGCTGCACGCCTTTTGTGGTCACAAGGTAAGCAGATTCCGTGTTTGGTGCAATGGTGCAGAGCAGTTTTTAACGATTTGGCGACAGCTTTCTCTAAGAACACTCTTATGCTTTGTTTCAGAGCACCAGAGAAAGTTGTTTGGGTGGTGAAATATGAAAGAAAGGTGAGATAAACAGTTGTCGGATTAAGGAGTATCTCCTTATGATTGCGGAAAATAAATGTGTCCTTCGAATTTGCATCACTAGGTGCATGTTTTTTGAAACTGAACTTTGGGCGAAGAACCCGTCTACAAATACCGACAAGGGGTGCACTGCCGGTACTGCTGACCATCAGGATACCAGTACTGGTAGTGCAGATATGGTGGTCACATCAAATAATGCCAGGAGACCCTCACTCATGCATCATCCATTCCATGCAAGCATGCAGATATGGTCGTCACACCGAACACATGAAAATGAAGTTGTCCTCTGTCTTTGAGAACCGCCACATACTTCAACGACATTCCGGAGTTGCAGTCATCAAATACCGTACACATACAGTACAAAGTTATAGATTGTGCAGCTATGGTGGATGGACCCCACAAATAAGCTCACGGGCTTGCAAATTCAAGATGACAAGCCTGACTCGACTACACCGTGGAGTTCAAATTGAACTTCAGTGCAACTTCTCACGATGCAAGCCTTGTCACGCATGCTACAAAGATGGAGGTGAGAGTCCAACACAGTCTTCAGGTGCCATAATCTCTAACTCTGTATACTTGCTCTCTCCTTGAACATCGAAGTGCTACTCTCACTTCATGGCTCACTCACCACCAAGCACAAACTCTCTTCTACAAATGTCCGAGACAACATTCCGATTTCCACTCCTAAGAATTAGTAAACGACAGCTAGCAGATGGCTGCTCGATTGCTTACATACTCCAGCTATGGCTGTCTAATTCGCCACACAGCGCACTGCTTGATTTCGGGAACCAGCACCATGCAGAGTGGGCCCTGCAAAAACGAACGACACTCTGCAAAACTTGTGTGTAATCGTCTATTGGAACCAGTCCCCGGTTGTCCACTGCCCACGCCACAGCTGACCCCACCACCATCTCCCCTTCAGGGCCGTCACCAACCACCACCTCCCCCCCCACCGAAACCTCGACGTCTACTCCGTTACTTCTGCCCGTTTTTGCAGGTTCGACGGGAGTGTTCATACCCCCACAAAGACTACACTTAAAAACCCTGTTGGTCTTGCCGTCCGCTCTCCCGCGCTTGCGAACCTTCGCCCGACCGCCTCGACCGACGCGTGCCACAGGAGGCAACACACCATTCTCGTCCACATCCTCCGCAACGTCTTCCAGCCCAGATTCATCTGCCCCGCCATCCACAACTTCACCGTTCCTCTGCAATCCCCACATCTTCCTTGGCCGCAATGGATTAATCAAGCCCGCGTACGTGTGCTGGTACAGTCGCCTCGTGAAATGCCGGCAGCAGAACTTTCTCGGGCACTGGTTGGTGCTGAGGATGGCGACGACTGCATGCATGCAAGGGATACCTCTTGACCCCCACCACCCGCACGTGTATGATCTCTCACTCAAAACTACACAGTTCATAGAAGACCCACACAACACTTCGAATATGTCATCATTTGTCGGCACGACTCAAAATCTGTGTGCCTTGTCTCTGCACGACGTTGGTGCCATCTCAACTTGCGGGACAAGCACGGATTCGATCCGCGCTGCTGCATTTCGACGATCAACTTCCATTTCGTCAAAACGGACATATTATATTTTTGAACGAAATTAAAATTGAGTTTTTGGGTTGAAATCCGGTCCAAATTTTTGGCTCTTGGGGGTCCGGCGTTGCTAGAATGCCCGACCCTCAGGAGCCAACAATTTGGACCGGATTTCGGCCCAAAAACTCAATTTTAATTTCGTTCAAAAAAATAATATGTCAGTTTTGATGAAATGGTTGTTGGTCGAGGAAGCGCTAACACAACCTGCGGCGAATGTCCTCCAGCATGAATATGACAAACTTTTCTCTAGCCTCCATTATCCAACTGTTCAGAGACTCTGCAATGTTGGATGTGTAATGACCGTACCGCTGCCCCTCGAAATACGCGTCTGCCCAGTGAACCGGATTGCACGTGCGCAACAACCAACCCGTCGTGTCGGTGTCCATAACTTGCATGTGCGCAATCAAGTTGTCAAATTTTGGGATGCTAATCGCCTTCGCTGCTGCCTACAAGAGCTTTTGGTACTCAGGTACATTGTTACTCTTTTTGATGTTATCGGTAAGTTGTCGCATGCAATACTTGTGAGGACAATCTGGAAACACATCGCCTACTGCGTCAATGAGACCTTTATCCCGATCGGATACAAAAGTTATTCTTTGATGATTACCATCCCGTGATTGGAAAGTTGCAGAGAGGTGATGTAGGAACCTGAACCAATTGTCGCTGTCCTCGTCGGGTACAATTGCAAATGCCACCGGGAACAAGTGTCCCTTAGCGTTCACGGCCGTTGCGCATAACAAAATACCTTGTGCCTTGTTTTCAGGAAAGTGCCATCGAGGCCAAACAGGGGGTGACAGTGCATGAAACCGGCCAGACAAGCATCAAGCGCATAAAACAAACGCTTGAAGCGAGGGGATCCTTCCTTGGTCTGCACGAATGCACGATTCCCTGGGCTAGAATGTTGAACCTCCTCGCAATACATCCGAAGGTTGCGAAACCCGTAGTCGTTAAGTGCAACAATTTTCACCTTCGCAATCTTATCCCGCAATCTCGGCTCGACGAATCGAGAAACCCATGCAGTCGTGGCATTGACATTCGACAGTTTGGAGATGCCGCCGAATGTGTGTCTCGTTACCGGCTTGATGCTGCGCGTCGATCGACCATTGATGATTGAGCCGTGCAGCTGCCAATTGCAGTTCTCAGCCCTGCATTTCACGGTGTACCGCGCTGTATCGGACTTCACGCTGCGATACTCGTACCTGTTCTTCACAACATCATCAACGACAACCTTCCAGAGATCTGCAATGTTCGCAAAGTCTTGGCTGACACATAGAACCCCTACTTTGTTAACAGGCCGCGACAAAGGAGTGTCTGCTAACCATTCCAAGTCGCTAAATTCCCTCCCTATATCTTCTTCATCCTCCTCTCTCTCTCCATCATCATCTGAACTCCACATCACGTGGTAGAAACGACCCTCCTCAAATTTTTCCCGTGATCGTTTCCCTACCAATGGCGAGCAACCAATGGCTCCATGCGGAAAATCTTGCGTCGAGGTCGACCTGGTCGAAGGTGTCCGCACACTAGGTGAATTTACGTCATTCGCGGACATCCTCCTCGCATCGGTTTGTTGCAAGTGAGCTACATGCATTGCTGGGCTGACTTGCTGCGTGATCATGCTTACACATGCGTGTGAGGGCCCATGCAAATTCACCATGCCTTCTTTTGTATGTTCTTTTGTTTACCACCTTCTTCTGCGTGACACTGTCATAGTGAGGACTAAGCCTGCATGCCCGAGTAATGGAAACAAAATTGATTAAAGGATGATCCACAAAGTACAGTAGGATGAACAATTTCGGAAATTGTTCGTCCTACAATTGCATAACATGCATGGGAACTCTCTCTGTCTCTTTGTCT